GGCTCTGCGGCAGCCCTGGGGATGTGCGTCTGGGCATTCAGGCTGTTAATTTGCCCCTGGCTGGGGGCTGACTTCATGAAATGCAGCATTAAATTATTCTTCCTTATGTGGTGCCCTGCGACATGGGGAGGGGAAGCCAGGCCAGACCTGGCAAGCGACCCAGCGCTCGGGCCATGCTCAGGTGACACTCAGCAGTAGATGGAAGTATAAATATTTAATCCAAGCAGAGCCAGGAGTGCAGAGCCCACCAGGGGCTGCTACATGATGATGCGTGGCTCTGGCACGGACTCGGCAATGGACTTGTGTGGCAGCACATTGGCCCCGTTGAGGTAGAGCTCATCGTTGACAATGACGTCCTCACCCAGCACTGTCACATTCTCCATGCGCACCTGCCCCAGAGAGGCCCCGTCACGCCTGCCCCAGCTCCAAGCTTGGTGCCGCGCTCCTGCTCGCAGGCACTGGCACATCCCTCCATCCCTTGGCTGCAGCCAGAGGAGTCAGGAGGGCAAGAGCTGAGTGCCGATCCCCCGCAGGGGCACCCACATCCTCACCCACTGCCCCACGGAGCAGCTCCAGCCCACGATGCAGGACTCCAGCCACGAGTGGGAACGGATGCGGGCCCCCTTCAGCACGGTGCAGCGTTTGATGCGCACCCCATCCTCCACCACCACGCCGGCCCCGATCGTCACATTGGGGCCGATGACACAGTTTGCCCCAATCTTGGCACTGGGGTCCTGGAAGGAAGAGGGGTTGCACCAAGGCCGGGAGGGCAGCCAGAGCTCTCAGCATGGCCCGTGCCACTTGGCCAGCATGGGGACAGGAGAGCACAGCTTGAGGATGGCAGCGAGGATGGCAGTGGGAGGACGTGGAGAGCCTGTGACGCGTGCCCAGGGCCAGTGTGCTGGGGGCTGGCACTTACCACCAGCACATTCCCTACGACACCGGGCCCTGAGTGCAGCTTCTCGGGGTGCTGAGCCCGCAGCGCCTGCAGGTACATGCACATGCCT